TCATGGTGTCAAGTTTGCTCTTGAACTGAAGGGTTTCCCATGTACTGTGTAAGCGAGAGGAGTCTGATTAAGGATTAAGGCTAAGAATCCCTTGTTTAATTAAGCTTCTCTATACCCCTTGAGGGCAAGTGCTGTCTTCTTTTTACATAGGTAAACTACACTATAGAAAGGTAAGAGGGGATGCCTTTTCCCTGAGCAGAGCACACAAGCTAAAGACAAGACATCTCAGTGGGTGCTGGAGGAAATCCTCCCCTTCAGCTTTGTGGCACCGATACCTCCTTACGCACGTGGTAGACCTGCAAATGCTATATTCACCTTCAAATTTTGGCGCATGGTCGCTGTACGTGGTCATGTCTGGGACAGGACAATGCAGTCGCAGGCAGGGGATTTAGATCCCACCTGTATGTGTTTGGTCGTCTTCTCCAGGCTGCTTCCAGAGCTCGCCTCAATCTGCTTTGGAGATGATCACGAAGGAGTAGGTGGGACTGCACAGACTGTCAGCAGTGAAGCGGGGGGGAAATCCCCAAATCACCTTTTCTCTCCCCAGGAGAAAACTGCATTTCTCCTAATAGAATTAACAATCCCACTTGCAATGTCTAAGGGCATCTTTGAGGCTTTCACGCTTTAAAGCTCTGCCATGCTGTAGGTTGTACGTTCACTTGCCAGGTACAAGCAGGAGAAAAAGAGTGTGTTCACTACAAGAGAGATTTTTTTAAAGGTTATCAACCATGTACTACATTTTTTGAGAAGAAAGGTAGCCACCCTCAATCACACTGCTTCGCGAAGTTGTAACGCTACCGTTCTGCATGATGGTGTAAAGTAATGCTAGTGTGGCGTTAGGTTGTCGTAGAATATATAGTAATGAGTGTGAGTTCCTCAGGTGCAAGGTCCCGCTGAATCCAGTGGAAGTTGTCACACTGCTATCTGCAAGAACAGAGTTAGATCTCCTTTTTCTCTCGTGCTTAGTGTAAATGTAGCTACTACAAAGAAATAAATTTTATTAGAAAACCTGTGTAATACAGTATTGAAACTGTGATAAAATTATTGGAAGTATTTGACATTATCGTCTTTCCTTTCTTTGATACCAATATTTTTTTGTAGACTTCTTATATGGACTGCACTAATTATTGTGCCATATAATCCTGCACCATCAAATAGACTAATGCATTAGCTATTTCTCTCAATCTCTTCATGCTTGCTTTCTCTGTGAATCACATCAATGACAGCAGTTAAGTAAATCAAAGTTTATAAGACTTGGGGAAAAATTGTCATATGCTACACACAAAAACCAGCTACTATATTTCAAAGTTTTGGTTGAAGTAACAATATCAAAGGATCTCTGTCATATGGGAATCTTTTCCTCTCACATTCCTGCACTATATACTATTAAAAGGCTTTAGTAAGTGAAGCACAGTAAACCCAAAGTGCCAGTTTACTACTGGTGGGGGGAAAAAAAAAAGTAAAATAGCAACAGAGACAAACCAAAACCAAATGAATCCTTCCTGTGGATACTCCCCGTCTGTGTGTGTGAGTGTGTTCTGCTTTGCTTTTTTGTCTGCCTTTCCAACAACAATGTTGAAAAAGCAAAAAGCGTTAGAGCAGAAATGCTCTAATTATTTTAAAGTTCTCTGATCAGCTCCCTGTATCAAGAAAAGAAAACATTTCAGACCTTTCTTACCAGTTGATTCAGGTTGTTTCTTTTGTTAACATTTGCCAGGCATCCTTTAAAGTGAAGTGGAGTAAAACTCTGTTGCTATTTATTTTTTTGCATAAGTTTCAGAAAAATAAAGCCTTTAGTTTTACTCTTCAGGATCAGACATTTTCATTTGGGGGAGCAGACAATGGGTAATTTAAATTATATTTCTTTTTTTTTTTTTTTCCCCCAGAAGAAAATGCTCCTTCACAAATGGCCTTTGCTTTTCTCCTTAGTAAATAAATCATGGGAGGCCCCAACCTAGTAAACCTGCCTCGGACTGATGTTTTATAAGCACTTTAGAGTAGTAATTAATCAATGTGCCACTCTTCAGAGCAGAACATAAGTAATAAGGAGCGAGGCAGGTAATGTGTTCTATAACAAGATAATGGCAGAGCGGTGCCCGTGCTGGAGGCTGCCTGCAAACCCACCTTGCGCAGAGGCAGGCATCTTCCTGGGGTTTTCTTTTTCTTTGCAATCGTAAAGTGCAACACGAGCAAACCCTGGCCCCGGTGCCTGGTGCTCCTTCCGTTCCCCATCGCCATTTAACGGGGTGTTTAATAGCGGCAGTCCTCTGCGCTGGTGGGGTTTTGCTTTGCTTTACGTTCACCGCAGCAAGGTCTGGAGCGGATTGCTCTGCTCCTCCAAAACCTCTGTTCTGCAGGGACCTGCGCACGTGTGAAAGTTTGCAGAATGCCTGTATTGTTTTGCTCATGCACAAATATAAATTACCCAGTCTTGATTGAGGTATTCTTCTTCCTTGGTAGTGATTTTCTACCTATACGAGGAAAGAGCAGGAATACTTGAGAGTAACTGCTCCCCCAAAGCGAGTAAATTTAGCCTTTAATTCGACCTCTTTCCTTTGTTTGTTTGATATTTGTGTGTTTATTTTCTTGGTCGTAAACAGACTACTTAAAGGGTGAACTGCAGAGGGAAAATGCAAATATTTATGGAATAATTTACTGGAAACATGGTATATGTTTTAAGCCAACCGTTGGCCTCAGTCAGTAGGAATATTATCACCTTTTGGTATGTCTCCAGTAAAATTGCACCTTTTACCAATATCTGGTTTGATTTAATACTGGAAAAGGAATGCAAAGCCTTTAGGTTTCAACTATTCTTTATGGTATATTTTCTCATGAAACAATGCAAAGAAAGTAGCTCTTGACAAGTCACATTTTTCCACACAGTGATCTCTTGTTAGAGACCTGTGAGACTAGTGTAATTTCCTTCCCATTACTTTCAATGAATTCCATGCACGTGAAAGAGAAAATGGATAGTGGAGCCTGAGTTCCTGTGCTACCCACTGCGTAGGTACCGACAGGAGGATGGAGACTTACCGTGGGATTCTTTACATTGCTCTTCTGCTATACATTAGCTTTAATCTTCCACTGAGCAAAATATAGGCATTTGTAACAAAAATAATGAGAGTTAGCCCTTTGGAGACTCTATGGTATGGGTCAGATTTACCTTTTGGTATCCTGATGTAAAACGCTGAGATCAGAGAAGTTACACCAATGTAAACCAGGTGTGCACATGCACATACATATATAGAGAGAGACGTGTATTTCCTTTCATTTAACAAACATATATAATTCAGACCTTAACGTCTACCAAAAAAACCCTTTGTTAACTTTAAATTGCTGTTACTATCAGGGTTTTTACTAGCAGTTTCTCATCAACTGTAGATAAAGATGATTACCGAGTAACCAACCTTAAGGTCTGCACAAAAATCAGCTCAGAAGTCTGACCGTGCAAACATCGTGATACATCATGACTGCAACTCCACAACAACTTCTCTTCTGCTTAAAAAACGTGAGCAACCACGATACATGCACCCGTTTTGTGAGAATCACATGCACAGTTTTAGCTCTGACCTAGAATGAATTAGCTTCTATTCCCAAAGCTATATACACAGTGTTAAGTTATTTGCGGTTAATTTGCTGGAAAAAGGATTAGAAGCAAGTTAAGTTTGTGTGTCTCTGAGAAATAAGATTTTGTCTCAGTTGTTTATACACAGGCACAGAAAGAAAGCAGGAAGCAACAGGGTATGTGGAGGAAGAGGGAAAGGGTTACAGCCTCGAGTTTCCCGAGAAGCACAGCTTGCAGTTCTGCTGCGGGGAAGGTTTCTCCGTCTGGCAAGCCTCCTGGGATGCCAGACTGGAGCAACCAGTTTGCAGGAGCTGTACAGGGGAACACCTTCCCCGGCCGCCCATCACCGCAGGCAGCCCCGTACTGGTGCCAGTACTCTTGCTTCTACCCAGCAGCCTCCCACCAGTCTGCTCTGCTAGGTGAACTGGCCACGCAGAGGGGCGCGCGTGCAGTGGCGGCGGCTGTTAAATCTGTTGAAAATACAAGGATATAATATCGGTGTCCTCCAAGTAGCGTGGGTCAATGTGTGAACGAGCCCGAGAAAAAACACAGGAGAATTAAAGCAACTGTCAGAGCAACAAAGGGAGTTCCTTGGGCTGCTTCTTGTGCAGGCTAAATTAAGTTATGGGAAATAAAGGAATGCACTTTTTGTGTTTTAGTGAAACGTTTCGAAACCGTGCAAAATATGGAGATGGCAGTTACTGTGAATGCGTAGTTACAAGCTTTTCCCCGCTTCCACCCCACTCCCCAAATAGAGTTTGCAGCGACTTTAGCAATAAGGAAATATGCTGAAAAATAGTTCTGCCTCAAGGAAGGGAATGCTTTAGAAAACTCAGTTGTCTGTTGAGGAGTTGCATGTTATACCTGGAGACAAAATTCTACCACACGGTGTAAAATAGCCTTCCTTTATGCCCAAATTGCAAAGGAGACTTAACGAGACCATTTCTGATAATGCTTCCATAACGTGTGTGTGTGTGTGTGTGTGTGTGTTCTCCGAGGCATTCATTTGGCTGGCACATTGGAAAATGGTTAACACAGTGAATGTGGGGTGTCATTTTTTTAGTGGAGAATGTGTGCCAGAAGAATTCAACTGTAACCACTAAATATTTGCTTAAAAATAATTTTAACCATCTGGACTCCTTTTCTTCTTATTATTCTTATTCTTCTTTTGAGGTGGGGTGAGAAGGGAGTATTTTAATAGGAATGATTTGTGGTTACAAAATGAATTTGGTTAATTTGGTTACCACCCCCATTTATATGATGACTACAAATAGTCCCTAACATCTGAAGTTTTAAAGAACCAGCAGATTTTTCTCTCTTGAGCTTCAGAAGCTGGAAACGAACTTACAAAAGACAATAAATTGTTCTTGATGGAATAAATAGTTTGTGGGGTTGCTATTGTTCCTCTTGACAATACACTAACATGTGCTAATAGAGGAAGAATTGAAGAGCTTGCGTAGTACAGGCTCTTCTGCCAGGCTAAATTTTTCCACTTTGGAGCGGGAATCAGGTTCCCCGCTTGCACGGCAGGGAAAACGCAGTGCCGGGATTCCCAGGAGCCAGCACCTGCTGCCCGCCCCGGCGCTGGGAGAGCTTTGGGGAGCCTTCGGCAGAGAGCTCGGCAGCAGCGGCGTGGGCTTTGGAGGAAACCCGAGAGTAACCTGCAAACCTGTCTCTCGAAGAGCCTTATCAGAGTCTATGTTTCAGAGACAGGCTGCCTGAGATCGTTTTTCTTGGCCACAATAAGGACGCTTGCTAAAAGCAGGGTCGGAGTAAGAGTTTTCACGTCTCTCATGCTTAAAGGGATCTTTTTTTTCTGTGTGTCTTACTTAAGAACATACACCTTGCTTTTAAATATTCAGATTTCAGTGACAGATTTTTTGATTCTGAATCTAGTTAAATATAGTTGGTAGACGTACATGTTTCTATGTTCTCTGTGTCTTGCCTTAGCATATTAAATGAATGTTTTATGGAGCCTGTTATAAATACATCTGTTAAAAGATCTTTATCATACTTTGAAATGCCTAAGTCTACCTTTGTACGCTAATGATATGCTAGGAAATGTGCACGAGATAAAATAAAACAAGAGAAAATAGGTAAACTTGCATGTAGCGCTCTTGCTTTAGTAGCTCTCGGAGATACTTTTCCTCTGTTTTCTCATACACTGCCACACTGGTTTCATCCAACTCGTTGTACATTAGGAACAATTTAGTACCATTTCATTTAAAATATGCAAGCTTTATATCGAGAGGAAATGTGTAGCCACAAGGTAAAATTAAAAAAATATATTAGTCTCATCATTAAAAAAAGCCTTTAAAGTTTCCATTATCCATTATGTCAGGTAGCAAATATCTTCTCAATGTAACTCCAGACATTAAATCTGTCAAGAGGCATGCAGTAAAATAAATGTCTGGGATACCTTCATAAACAAAAATCTTATTTCCATAATTCATACAGCTGGCTGGCATTTATTGGCACGTCAGGTGCAATGGGGACATTTCAGGAACATTAACATGTACAGCATCATTTGTCAACAAAGCAACAATGTAAGCAAATCGTTCAGAACTCATACAGATTTACAGCTTTCTCTGCCAGCTGCTAATTACGGTGTGCTCTGCCTATTTGGTATGGTCTTTTTTATTGGAAAATGACAAAGGGGTTATGGTATCCCAGTTTGGAATATAGATGCGCTTTTAGTAATAATATGAGTGGTAATATGACTACACAGCCTGGAGTTTTGATCTAGTTGCACTAGTCTTATCGTTGACGGGTTTTGATTGATGAAGGACAAAGAGAAATTCACAGTGGTATTTACTTACTGATAGAAGTAACCTCTGCAAACAAAGAAATAATAAAATATCAGAGAGCAAAAAAAAGTATCCTTGCTTTAATACTGTTTTTTTCCTACTGAACATGACAGGGAACATTCAATCCTCACTGAAAACCTGATCGGTTTCTTTAGCCATGTTTAGCAAGCCCTATATGCTACAAACTGGCAAATACCGCCTGAACATTGCTGAATCCACTTTGAGAAATAAGAATTAAACTTTCAGCATTTTAAACAACGCAAAGGTTAAATAAAAGCCGACGATACCATCTTTAAGAGCCACAATACATGTTAATTATCTGCTTTCAACATCCTCTGTGTCTGTCTGTCTGTATTTTTCTCCCTCTTTATTTGTTTGAGTGTGTGTGTTTATGTATGTATGTTTTTGCAAGTTAATGACGGCAAGCCAGTTCTACTTTTTATTTCCAAGCTTTGGCCAGTTTGCATTTCAATCTCATAAAAATATAATTAGTAGAGCTTTATGCTTCAGATGTATAAATTAAATATGCTTTCATAATTATTATACCTGTTATTCAGCCAAAGGTAAGAGGATTCTATTAACTAAATACATATTTAGACACCTAATAAAATTCCTTATTCAGTTCTATTTCTTAGTTTCAGTTCATGAACAGTAACCACTATTCTGAGTTAAGATCTTGACCATTTAATTTTTAAGGAAAAAAGTAATTAGACCATATTATGGATTAATCCCTTGCCAATTTTCATTTTTTAAAGCAAAGTAATTTTAGACTTGGGAACTACATAATTTTATGCAAAGAAAGTATGTTTTGCCAACCTTATTAAAATCTTTAAAGACCATATTTTCTATAGGCTTCCAAAAATTATCCCACAAAAATGTGTGGGTGCACCCATCTGTACACATGAATGGGCAGCTAGGAGCATAATTATCCAGTTTTGCATTGTGCAAATGTAGGTGTTTAAACACAAATTAGCTGACCCCCAGATTTTGCTGGTGCATTATGCAAGCTGATAAATAAGATTTCTTTGAATACCATAACATAGGTTAAAATCCTGAAGGATTTTGAGAGACAACAATAACTTTGCTGTAAAATATCTGAGATTACTGAGGTCATTTAAAATGTTACTGACGCAACAGTAAAATGAGATATAGCTTAGTGCCAGTATTTGGGTGTTATTTTGGTTATAGAGGCTATATGATTCTTTCAATATAATAAACTATTGGCTCTGGCTCCAGAGCGATTACTGTCTGCCACTGCCTCTCCACAAGCGAAATGCACATGTTCCTAAAGAAAAAACTAGCGCACCAGGATTATAAAAAATTGACCATCAATCTATGTTTGTATGAGCAATCACGGTCGCTTCCGAAGAGAAGTTATTTTGTATTAGAAGCAATTTACCCATCTGGAAGAACAAAGATATTTGCAAATGTTGAAGTGACTGACTTCTGGCAGATGCTTAAAGAAAGTTAAAAACCCAACTACTTCTGAGGTGCCTGGCCTTGATTTCAGATCTGGAAATGTCCAATATGTTGAAGAGTTCTTCTAAATGATGATGAAGTTCACTAGCACCTTGGCTTTGTGCTCCCCACCTTTTTTGTGCTCCCCAGCACCCCGGCAGGCTCATTGCCCACACAGCTGCACAGCATTTCTCTGAAAAAGGGGAGCAGTTGTAAACCTTCCTGAATGAGACGTGGAAATTAGTGGCTGTATCGCCTCGGTATTACATAGCATGACTGTTCTGTGAGAGCAGGGAAGGGGGAGCTGTGGGGATGAACCTCGACAGGGGCTTTGTGGAGTGGAGGAAGAAGTCAGAAGTGAGAAGAAGGGCTGAGACGTAGGGCATTTGAGGAGGTCTGAGTTTCTTGGATGTGGGGTTAAATTGTGTCTTTGTGCTGCCATAGGGGCTTAGGAATAATAAGGAAATAAATATTTAACATAGAGCTTAAAAAATAGAGTTGATGACCCCTGGAATTCACATTTACTCCCAATACAGTACCCAGATGTGACAATGCTACTGAAAGTCCTGATAGACCAAGACCAGTTAGCGGAAAACTAACTTTATACTGTAATTCAAGATTGTTTGAATTTACTTTATTTGTGAAATTTTTCATTTGTGTTCATGTCTTTGTACATTTGTAGAGGAAGTTTAGGTACTCCTTGATCCATAGAGATTGCTTTTCTTCCTGCTCCCTTTGATTCCACTTGCCTAATAATAATGGGCATTATCTTATATCCATGTTTAATTTTATTATGTCACTAGCATTGCAAGAAAAGGATGTTCTTTTCAAACATTATAATGCATTTAGTATTTCACTAGTCATCAGTTAAATCAATTTTTCCCTTTATTGGATCTGAATTATAAATCAACTAGTCATTGTATGGGATACTGTATATGAATGTACAGTATATCATTATGATGTATCCTATAATAATGTCTCTTAGACATGAAAACTAAAGATGGTGGTTTAAAGTGCTGAGAGAGAAAAAATTGGAAACATCTGTTAGCAGGAAGTAGAGAAGACTTTTCATTAAAGTTTGTCAAGTGTATTTGATAGGAAGAACACACTGGGCCGTATTCTGCCACCCCTTACATACATCCAGCCCAGTATCCAGTGTGTTATTTCTATCTCGGGTGGAAAAGCCCATATTACCGGAGACACTAAAAAGCCAGCTCTCTACTTTGGGTAAGGCACACTACAGCAGCTCAAGAAATCTGAGACCTGGGACAGAGCGAGCCTTCACAAGTTTCATGGAAAAAAGAAATAGAGCCTATTTCTATACAGCCAGTGTCTTGGTCTGTGACTGTGCAGGGTAATGACAGCTGCGTTGCTCTTATGCTGAGTATGTCAGCAAGCTCGTGCAGAAGAATTGGTGTGGGACAGTTTGGGGTAAAAACCTCTTTTATTTCTACTTAGCCACTATTTTCAAGAAGAGTAGGTCTTCAAAATAAATAAATAAATAAATAAATAAATAAATGAATGAATGAAT